TTTTTTTTTTGGTTTTTCTCCGGTACCGGGAACCGAACTCACGACCTTGCACTTGCCAGTCAAGCGCTTTGCCGCTGAGCTAAATCCCTAGCCCCTGATGGTATTTTTTTAAAAATTCCCCTGGCCGGACGTGGTGGCACACACCTGTAATCCCAGCATTTGGGAGGCTGAGGCAGGAGGATCATTGTACAAGTTCGAGAGTAGCCTGGGCTACAAAGTGAGTTCAAGTCCAGCTTGAACTGCATAGTGAGACCCTCTCTCAAAAAAAAAAAAAAGAAGACACTTACCTGGTTTTTATGAGTAGCCAATGTTGGGAACCACTGCTACAAGTTCTCCCAGAAGGCTTAGAAGTATCAGAAGAACTCCAGGCTCCTATTGGTTCAGGGGTGAAAGACCTCACCTCCTTCTCACCCTCCTGCCTTCCACCACAGAGAGACCCAGCGAGAAGGTGCTCCCCAGATGCCAGCATCTTGATATTAGACTTGCACTCTCCAGGACTGTGAGAAGGCAAAGCTTGTTAGCCAGGTGAGATCGCCCAGCACTTGTTCTGGCTGCCCGCCTTTCCCTCATGTGCCCTGCTATTGCTCCCTGCAAACCCCCTGTCTGTCTGTCTGTCTGAGTCTCTTGGGAAGAAAGGGCTCTACTGAGACCAGGTGTTCTGTTACGCTTCCCTGTAACCCAGCAGCTCACAGTGCGGATGTTTTGTGGAGACACTGAGGTCAGCATACATTTGTGCAAATGCAGTCCCTCCCTTTCTGAGCTCTGGCTGCCTGCATCAGTCACTAAATACCCAGTGCTGTCTTGTGTAGGCTTTTGTTTCTATGCTTTTGACCGATGTTTCCCTTTCCCTATGCCTATCTCATCTGTTCCCTAAAAGTCCACAGGCTTTTTTGTGTGTGTATGTGGTACTGGGAATTGAACTCAGGACCTTGCACATGCCAAGAAATGGGTCTGCCACTGAGCTATGTCCCCACCCCTTTATTTCGAGACAAGCTCTCGCGAAGTTGCCCAAGCCGGCCTCAAACCTGCGGTCCTCCTACCTCAGCCGTACAGGTAGCTGAGACTGCAGGTGTACACCACCAGGTCCGGCCCACAGGCTTCTTGACGATCAGGATTCTGTCTCATCTCCCCAGATGCCTAGTACTAATCATTCCAGGAGTGCAGTGATCAAGCACCACCCTCAACGCAGCTGACTTCATGGTTGCTCTTTGAGGACTAACCATTCTGTCTGGTTTATCTAGAATCCTTCTCTTCTAGTTTCAACTTTACTAGGTCTTTCTAGATGCACGCCTTTTTGATCATGCCTCTGCCTCAGTCCAGGGTGATGAAAAGCCCAAAGACCGCTGAATTCTGCCTAAGCCCCAGTTAACTTGTTTCTAAAACTGGAAAGATAATTTGAGGTCATTTTAGGGTGCTTCTTCTTCCCTGGGAAAGTGTTTACAGGCAAAATAAATGAAACGCCTTCTGTTTTTCTATGAGATAAAAGCTGATGAAAAGGCTAGTGGTTAAAAGGCTCAAAGTATTAAGAAGGATGGTGCTGTATTTATCCACACTGAAAAAGTTATTCAACTATTTATGGAATGTCTGCTAATATACAGAGCAGTAGGCCATGTCAACCGTCTTTCTTAGGAGCACGGAAATTTAAGTAGCCACTCAACCTAAGTTGCTTCCATATCTATAAAAATGTTTCTACCTATTTATTTTTTAATCTTTCTATTTCCAAAGGTTCTATAAAGATAAAATAATGCACAGTATATTGTGAATACCCAATAAATGCCAACTGTAATTCCTTGGGTTTGTTGACTATAAAGAAATCAGTTGGTTAGGTCCTGAGTTTGATTCCCAGTGCTCCAAAAAAAGAAAAAAAGAAAGCAGTAGGCTCTGGGAATCTTAGACTGTTGGTGATTTCCCTCCCAAGAACTTGTAAAATGCAGTGTGTTTACAGTAGTCCTGCCTTGAGAAATACTGTGAGCGTGTTCCCTCTGGAGAATGTTTCCTTTATATCAACGCCTGGGAGATTGTTCTTTCAAAAGGAACCACTTTTGCAAGAGAAGCACTGGCCAGCCGGCCCCTTATCTTTCTGTTTCAGGGTTTGTTTTTTTTTGTCTTGAAGGCGGATTCCTGTCTCTGACACGGGGACTGCACAAGTAGCTGTGCAGAAAGGACGGTTTGACATACAGACCATGATTATGATGGGCTTTCCTAAAGAAAAACACGTGACCCAGAAGGCAGCTGAGTAAGTCTGGTGGTCACCAAATATTTCCCCGTGAGCATTTCATGCAACTGAAACTAGTTAATTAAATGACTTGAATTCCAAAGTTCTCTTACATGACAGTGACATAGCACTGGGTCTAAGTATCCTTTTCTATACAGACACATGGTCCACAAATTGAGGAGATGTATGAATTGTTATTGTGTTATTGTGAATTTATGGCCTGTTGTTATGCCTAGGGCCAATTCTGCAGTCTTTGGGTAGCAGACTCTCAAGTCATGGGACATGGTAAGAGGGACAGACTAAAAATATGTGTGCTGAGCAGTAGTGTTTGCTAATTTCTGTAGTGTAAATATTCCCTCCACAGCCATTTTCCAACTTCTAATGTGAAGTTACTTTATAGAGAACTGGAAAGAGAGGAATGAAATCTCCTGGTCCAGTAATGCCCAGGTCTTAGGGAATATTCCACC